GCGGGCTTTTCCTTTGCAAATAACAACGCTCGTGCCTGATGTGGACATATCGGAAGACAAGTGCAAGGCAAGGAAGAAACTCTCCTAGGGACAAAGCAATGGTACCGCTTAGTGTGTGCAAAGACTGCGCATTATTTAGGGCTTAAATAATCACAAATATAGGATGTCCTGAGGTGAAGGGAGTCACGGGATTTATTAAACTTTGCCCCCTGTATAAACGTTATTACAAAGAGGAGGTGCACTACTCTTACACTATGGATTGCAGTTTTGTATGCCAATCCAGTAACATAAAAGCAATAGGAAATCTAATCTCGACTCTGTTCTCTATAGCCCGCATCAATAGCTCAATAGTTAATGGGGTTTTCATGTTTCAGCTAAGTTTCTCTGGATTTTTTACAGAACTACTTTAGACCCAGAACAACTGTTTTATGGGTATATATGGCTTTGTAGCCTGGCTCCTGGAAACAACTGCCAGGATAGTTTATTTTGCTCTGTTTCTCCAGAGGAGTGTCATGCAAAGAAATGTGGCTTTAGAATCGATTTAAGTATTGCGTAAAATATGAATTACGTATTTCAGTGTTTCCCTGGACTGGAACATGACTCACCACACAAACAGCGCACTCCCCTCCTGCAGGTGGGAAATCCAGAAGTGAGGATTGTGAAGGTTTTTTTAACTGAATAGCAAACAACTAAACTCTGTGGAAGGGGGTACCAGCGGTGTCTGGGGTTGCGTTAAGTGATTAGGGGGAGTTCTCTGCTTCTCGAAGAGAAGTGAGCAACATGCTCCTAGCAACAGGTTCAAAGGAAAACATGAAGCGCGTTGCCTGCCTCTCCCTCTTGCTGCTTGTCCAGTTGGGTTATAATTCGCATCTCGTGTCCCTGCAGTACAGCCCTGCTGTTCCTGCACTCCTTGGCCCGGCGTAGGAGAGGGTCACAGAAGGGGCTATGCCACCGGTGAGACCCCATCCTCAAAGGCTGAGTGTGTTAGTCCCAACGTGCCTAACTTAAACTGTTCCCTAGCACTGAAGCCAGCTGGCAAGGAAGGCTCATCCATGTAACCAAACCCTCTTACCCTCCAAATCAGCGTGGCTGCATCCAAGGCTCCTGTTGGGAACGGTCCCCGCGAGCGCCCAGGTTGTACATGGAAGAGTGTTGGTTGGCCAAGGACAAGACGGTGCCAGAGACCCTCCAACAGCCCAGTGGTCTGCAGGGTTGTGTGCTGGTGGGCAGGGATGGCCCCTGGCTGTGTTTAATTTCATGGATGTAGCCCAGGAGGCCCTGCAGGAAGGTAGGCGGTGCAAAGAGCATCCTGGTGCTGGGTAGCCCCAGTTCACGTCCTCAGGTCAGCCTCCCATCAGCCGAGCCTTGTCTAGCTGGAGACGCCAACGTGCTCTTCAATCCGTGCCTGCGCTGGGGAGATAGAGAGGTATGGCTACGAATTAAAGTCGTCAGCTGAATGGAAAGTAATTCAGTGATGTACAAGAGAGTGTAGTAAAGCTGATGTGGCAAGTGACAGCTAGGACTTTGAGAAGATAGTTTGGGGATAATTTGTTCCAAAAATACCAACTACTCACCCTCATCCTTCAAGTTTTATTAGAATTCTGGTCTCCCAAGAGGGCTTCTCCTTTCCTTCTCCTCTGAGCTCCCGGAGAACATGCCGTGGGCTCACATCGCCGGTGAGCAGCACTCTGCAGCTCTGGCTTTAACTCCTAGCTTTGTTTCCCATTTTTGTCTGCTGCAGGTTGGAAAGTTATAGTGCTGCTTAAATTTATTTTATCAGTGTCACATTCTGTAGGTGAAGATTTTCAACACAGATAAAAGGGCTGTTTGTGTTTTTTCCCCTCAAATATTTAGCTCAGGCTTCATCCTTTTTCTGGGATGTCATTTCTTGGCTATGGGTCCTCCTCTCTACTAATTAAAAAAATTGGGTACAAACACAGATGTCGTTGCCAAAGGAAAGGAGAGGACAGCCATCTCAAAGGAAGAGGAAAGATGTCTGAAAACAGCGATCACGTTCAAGACCAATGCTCTTAAGTACAGGCGATATACTGTCCTACAGTACCGTTGTGCTGCCGTGCTCGAAGATGAGAAGAAACTTTGAGGTGATGTTGCCCAGAAACGCGCAGCAGGATGAAGTCACAGCCTGGGCAGTCGGGGGTTTGTGTCCGGCTGTGGAAGCGCTTGTTGTGGAAGATGGGTTTTTTGCAAGTCTTTCTGATAGCTATATAAATATTCCTTAGCAAAGTAGGCAGCACCACAGCTATAGCCCAGAGCAGGCTGCTCTTTCTTACCGAGGAATATCCTTAACAGACAGAAACCATCAGATTTAAACCCTGACCTTGAATATTACAAACATCAGGACGACGGCGCTGCGAAGGGAGAGTCGGGTTTCTTACTTACACAGGGGAAAACTTGAAAGTAAACTGTACAAAACAGCAGGAAGAAACCCATAAATTAGGCACCTTTGCTGAAAAAATGATGAAACCCAACATGTTTTGCCATATTGCATCTCATTCTGCTGTCTTTCTCCTGGCTAATAAGGATACTAATTCTCATGCCACCGCTTCTCTTTAAAATGAGTTATTGTCCACCAAGATGCATTTTGTCAATCTGTGAGGCATCTGCACTGGATGACTAATTAACTTTTAATTAGTAGGGAATAGAAAACTCAGGTTTTGTTTTGGTTTGAGGCTCGGGCTGTGAGTTCTGTACTGCAATGTTGATTTTGGAGCTTTCCTGCCCCTCCTCAGCAGAAACGCGACGACGGAGGGATGCGGCAAGGGTGCATTTAGGACTGGACGGGAGGGGAAGCAAAACCCTGCAATTTAGAGCTGTTTCACTCCACCTCGGTGACTAAGCTGGGCTTTGTCAGCCTTGTAATTGTGATTGAGACACTCCAGTCTGCTGGTGGCCACACGGGTTAGCCCAGTTTCAATTACTCGTACTGTTTTGAAACCCCAGAAACTGAGACTGGTGCAAAAGGATCGCCCGCCTGTGCAAGTTCTATAAATCTGCATTTAAGACGTCTGACTTACCTTGTTGTCGCTGTACGGCAGTCGGACTCCAGCCTGCTGGGAGAGGTGGGGGTGATGAGAGCAAGAGATGGAAGCTGGAAAGATCAAGGTCCTGCCCCAGCCTCCCGGAGCAGCGGGGTGCCTGTCGCTGCCTTCTTCTGTGTCTGGACTTCATTTCCATACCTTTAAAAGGGAATGCAGAAATATTGCCAGGCAGAATTAGACCTCTCCAAACTTTTTTCCCCCCACCCCTGCCTCCTGCAGTCAGTGAATAATGAATCCCCTCCTTCCTCATGATGAGGTATGGAGTAGAAACCTGATCTCAAAGTGACTTTCCTAGAGAAGGACAATCCGGCAGCCCCGCTTCCCTCTCTCCGTGGTCGCACAGCGATCCCGCATCACCCCGGATAGCGAAGATGCTGGATGGCAGGAGAAATGAATGCAGCTGCTATTCAAAGCACCCTTCCCCAACTACGTATGTCAGTGAAATTACAGGGTTGCCAAGCAGTGTGCAAAAAAGGGGCAATATTTCAGCTCAACAGAGAGATAGCCAAGTGTAGTAATACTCTTAAAATATTTTTATATAGATATTCTTCTGCACTGGCCGGGAAATGTTTCATGATAAAGCAGCCTGTGGAGCTGGAGCAGAACGTGTGCTGCAGATGGGTTAACTCCAGGCACCTTGGAGTCAGGAGCCGGTTCGGGTGGGTGTGAATGCATCTGGATGAGGACACATCCTTCGGGGTGGTACTGGTTCATTAACGCTGCCTTAGTGGAACTGGTCCAGTGCAGATACCTGGGCTGATGCCTTTCCAGCAAAGAAAAACGTAGATTTGCAGCCTTACGGTTGCAAGACTGGATTTAGTGTGCAAGAGCTCTTAAGCCAGCGCACCCACTGTGTGTTGGAGGGCAGTTTTCAAATGACCATCCCATGCGCTTGTTTAGATGGGACACGAGGGACATCCACTTGCCTTTGCAGCGAGCAGTCTTGCTGTCTCTGAGGCACTGCAGCTTCTGCAGCAGCAGCACAGCTCAGCAAAGAGCGAGATGGAAGTTTGTTGAGAGGTGCATGCTCTCCCCACCCTTCTGCCTTTCCTCCGAGCTCCTCTCCCCTCCTCCTCGGTCCCAAACGCTCGTGTGAATGAGCGTGCATTACACAAGCCCTGTGTCGCCTTCTCGCAGCTCCAAACAGGCTTAGGAGCAAACGACAAAAATCCTGTTGTGCTGCATGAGTGTGCCCTCCCTTTCATGGTACGAACTGCTCCGTGTCCTTTAAAATATCTCCCTTTGTCACAGCTGCGAAACGCGTGCTGGAATTTAAGCTTTGCAAAGTGCCGTCGATTTGCCTCCGACCTCCTGCTCGCAGCCCGCCAGGCCTTGGGAGCTTGTACATTATTTTCTTTTCTCCCCCCCTCTTTTTTTTTTTTTTCTTGTTTCTTTTTTCCGCTGCTGGCTGCCCTCCAGCATTCCTCGCGGGGCGAGGCAGGATCTGGAATGTCAGAAGGCAGCGGCAGGGAGGGCCGGGAGAAGCCTGCGCGTGGGTAACGGCGCCCGGGAGGAGGAGGAGGACGGAACAAAACACAACTTCATCTGGACTGCCCCTTTCCAAACCAGCGTTTGTTCCTGATTTATGCTTTCGTGTTTCACTTAAAGCATGCAGCTCTGCGCAGTGACGGCAGAGAGCTCGCAGCAGCGCTCCAGAGTAAAACAGGTTTTGGTTTTCTTTTCTTTTCTTTTCTTTTCTTTTTTTTTTTGTTTTTTCTTTTTTGGCAAAAGCTTCGTGTCTAGATAAACCCAGCCGGGTTTCCAGCTCGCTCTCTTGAGCCGGGAGTTTTTGCCTCCTGCAGATTCGGGGGGAGATCGCTCTGGTCCTGCGGCACGCGCTCGGGACGAGGGGAAATGTCCTTTCACGGAGAAGTTGGGACGGGGCCCGGCCGGTGAGGCTGGCACAGAGCAACGCCCGGCGCGGGAGCACAGCAAGTCCTTGACACTTTCTCTTCTTCTTCTCGGACAAGAAGCATCGTGGAGCCTCAGCTCTCCCTGCAGCAGATTAATGCCTAAAATTACACACCCTAAACAGCAGGGTTTAATTACCAGAGCTGTGAATAGTTTAATTAGTTTGTTCTGACCTTGGAGGAAGGACCTGCCCAGCGCCATAGAGCGACAGGAGAGCAAGACCTGTATTGCTTCTCAAAGACACCCAGCCCGAGAGGCCATGTCGTCCTTGTACACCAGGAGTAAAGAATACACTCGCAGCAGGAAGGCTCAGTCAGATTCTCCCCCGTCCTCTCCTTCCCCCATCGCAAAGACGCTCAGAGTAAGCAGCCTTTTCCTTTCTGTATTACCCGGAGACCTGCTCGGCACGTGCTCGGAGCAGAGCGCGGCGGTGGTGGTTTGTTGTCTTACCCCTGGAGACCTGTGTCTGTGGTTTGCTTTGCAAAGAGGATGGTTTAATGACAGTTGGGAAGGTGCCTCTGCAGCAACAGGTTTTAAGCAAGCTGCACGAGCCCTTGCGCTGGGATTCTTTGCGTTGATGGCTGTAGGGAGTTGCTGTGATGAGTTTCTGCCTTACCCTGCTCTTCACAGAAGCATTGCTCTCCAGGTAGGCTATGGCTGGAAGAAAACCTCGCTGATGAAAATGGGGCAAAACCTGACCAGCTCGTTAAACCGCGCTCTTCCCCTGAGCGCTTTGATATTGCTGGTGAAACAAGGTTTGCTATCCAGCTTTCACCCTTGGGGCTGTGCTGACCTGTGGTAGAATTTAATAATTTCAACAACAACAAAAAAAGAGAACCACCTGTAGCAGGAGGCGAATCGAGGTAGTTCACCAGTCCTCCCCAGCCCGGAGCTGGTGTCCCCATCTACCGAGGTGTTTGAAAGTTGGGAACATTTCATAACGGTATTGCTAGTAGCTCCGGAGTCACGCGAAAGGCTATCACGAGACTCCCCGGGTCCGTATCGTTCTACAGGCAGTCAGGCAGTCTCTTCGCCATCAAGAAATATTATCATGCTGGAGTCAAAGCCTGGAGGAATTAGTTTTAAAAAGGCAGGCTAATTTTAGATGTAAGCATTAAATTAATCTGAGCACTGGTGTTTGCTCAAATCAGATATGCATTGTCTGCTCCTTTTGAAGTGACAGATCTTGGTCTGGAAAAAGCATTACCGAAATATGTAAAAAGGGTTTTAACCCGCTGCTGGGGTGTAATGGAAGCAGTCCCCGACCTCTGAAACTGCGGCCTCGATGGCTTTCATGGCTGCTGGTTGCCCCGGGCTGTTAACTGTTTAACCCAGGAGCCCGAGTCTGTGCTTTCTTCCCGTCCGCCGTCGGAGTGTCTCTGGGGAGCCTTTAGGTAATCTAAAACTGTCCCCTGTGTGCTTCGATGGCCTGTCTTCATCAGTTCTTACAGCCATGCTTACCGTTCCTCCGTAAATTACCTCAGTATTGATAACCAGCTGAATAACAGGTGGGGAACCTTTCAAATGTGCTCGTACTCATAGAGTAAAGCTGAAAATGGTTTAATTTCTTTCAAAACTCAAGTTTTTTAAGATCAGTCATGTTCAGCGTACGCAGACTGACTCACTTTCCCCCCCTTATGCATCTGGGCATATAAACAAGTGACAAACATCTCGCAAGAGCCGTGACTGCTGTATTCGCGGGGCAGGCTAAGAGGAGGTGCTGGTTTTCTCTGCCAATAGCCGTGATGGGGCTGCAGGCTCTTGGGGGCCCCGTGGGTGTTGGAGGAGGTGGTGGGAGCTGCCGGGGAGGTCAGAGGCAGTGGTGGGAATGGGAAGGCCTGGAGAAGAGCTTCCCCCAGCTTCTCCTGGCAGTGGGATTTTGGTGAAAGCAAACACGTGAGCATGGAAATCTTGGTGGTTCTTGCGGTAGTAATGGTAGTGCCAGCTGTGGCTCCGGAGCATCGATGTGGGAGAAGGCAGACCAGGAGTGCAGCAGCATCGACTCACGAGTCAGCATAGCAAACAGTCCTGGTGCTGGCTGCGTTATGGAAATACCCTATGCCTTAAAAGGCTCATTAGGGAAGGATTTACTTCAGGCTAAAACAAAGTATGCAAGTTAACTCTTTCTCCAAGACAAAGTAATTCTGGCATGAGCGAGAGCAATACTGGAGTGCGGTTTTCTATGGATTTGTCCCATGTGTGTATCCCCCCACCCACTCCCCCATGCCCGCAGTAACAGCAGCCCTTGCCGCAGGGTGCCACCAGCCTTAATAAAACCGGTAGGAATGCGATATCTCGGAGTCTTTCATCTTTCCACCCAGTCAAGATTGATACCAGCAGACCTGGGGACTCTAAACGTTCCCAGCTGAGCAGGGGTGCGAAAACACATGCGCAGGCAGGGAGCCTCACGCATGGTACAGCCATGGAAAAACCTCTTAGACAACCAGACAAAGCAAAGAAGGTTTTGCTTATTAAAGTACGGGTGCCAAAGAGCTGCATTCAGATGTCGTTTGCAAAGCAGTTTCCTATGGCATTCCCTGCTGCGCTCGCCCTGCCGCTTGTAACATTCCTCCTTAGGTGTTATGATAATACCGCATGTGGTTTTTTCCACCTTTAATTGCTGGGATCTCCCCAAACGCACAGCTGAGAAGGGTATATACTCGTACCAGTCCTAAGAAAGGCAACATCCTTGAGCAGGGCCAGGGAGCAAAAGGCAGGGAGAGGAGAGCCTGGGGTGTGAGCACCTCCATGTGCAAGGCCAGCGCTGTCCTCCTGCCCCGAACCCCCGCAAGCTGCGATACTTATTTCTTGTATTAGAGCAGCCCAGAATTACCGTCACCAATGCAGAAATAGCCAAGTAAATCCTGTTCAGTCACCCAGGGCTGACGTTGCCAGCTCCACCTTTTCAGTTGCCTTAATGAGGATGTTGCTAGGAAGTGGAAACTGAAATTCCCTTCGAAATCAATTCAGATCGTCCCATTATTTGGCAAAAGCGTTCGTTTCTGCGGCAGTGGGTACCTTTTCATGGCGAGTTTTGCACCATACTGCTTTAGCTCAAGGTTTCTCTTCATCAGAAAAGTATTATTCGTGTAGTCAGTCCAAGGGTACAAGGCAACCCAGGGTATGAAACCTGTCGTGCATAAGCAAGCAAACAAATGGCAGGATTGGAAGGATGACAGTGAGAGCAAGGACTGAATTCTCTTTTTCTTTTCTTTTTTCTAAATCCTATTTGTGCTAAGCCAGTTGTTTTTTCATAGGAAATACCCTGCAGTTTGTGTTTAGGTGCATTCATCTGTTCGTTGTGGTACTTAAGAAGCCTTGCGTTTCTCCGTGGGATATCGGTTAGGTGGGAGAAGGAAAGCTAAGGAGGATGGATGCCCAATCCCACCTTCCTGCGCCGGCTGCAACGGCAGCTTTTCACTCGTTTCCCACCTCTTTGTCAACCAACCTTCCTTTCTTTTACAGACTGCCCCTTCTTGTCTTGTCATCCAATATTTTTTGCTGTAAAAAAACCCATGAAAACTTAAAACCCTCGTCAGCGTGCGTGTGTGCCGTTCGTTCAATGGCAGCTGCATCCCTCTGCCTGCCATCGCTTGGTTGTTACTCGCTCCTCGAGAGACTCTATGTAATTCTGGTTCTGGCCATAGTCACGGTTTCACTACAAGGCTTTTTCCCTCTGATGTTAGATCGCTCCCTCATTAAGCCACCTTCATTGCTTATTACTTAAGCTTTCCAGCTGAATTTTTGTTAGTAAGGGCTCGGCAATAAAGTTTTAAGTATACTCAGTGGTCTGTACTGATTGATTTTATTCTGCCTTTCATTGGAGTGCCTGAAGGAGCCGCGCTAAGTGGAGTATGGGATGCGGGAGCATCACCTTTTATGGGACATATGTCTTCACCGAGTCACTTGATAGTAATACTTGAGCGTAAAAAGCAACCGTTTCCAAATTGCCGTCTCTGTTACCGAGCCCGTACATCGAGCCCGTGGTTGCTCCCAGCAGTGATTGCCATGGCAGCAAACGCATCGAATCGGGGTGCGATTTTTGATGTGGACACGTACATCTAGAATCCAAAGCAAATCTTAAAGAAAAGAAAGCTAATGCACAAAAATGATCGCCATCTGAGCTGCAGGTGCTTGGCATAAAACCAGCATGGTTTGGATATTAATACATAAATAATAGTATAAAATCTTAGAGATCTGGTAACGTGGCCGAACCAGACTTCTTTTAATCAGTGAGAGATGTCCAGGAGGGCCGAGAGGTTGGAAGAAATCAGCTTACAGCCTTCGCAGAGTTTTGAATGTACATGTGTCGGACAGTCAGTTTTCACTCCGTGAGTGCTTTTGCAACAGGTTTAATCCTGTTTCAGATATGCATTGTAACAGGTTTATTCTCACATTAGGTAGACCTGTATGAATCATTTGGCTTGCTCTGCTGCTGCTGCAACTGCGTTAGAGAATAAAGACTGTGATGAAAACACTTCTCCAGGAACCTTTCTGTTCCTGGGTTTCCATTTAGTGGCTTGGATTTGTTCTAGTTGTGATAAAAATGATGCTGCATAAATTGAAATGGGGTCAAATAAGTTGTCTCATGACATTTTCTGTCTAATTTCTGGATTGCTGACGAGTTACGCAGTATTTACGGAAATGATTACCTCCTCTCCCGTTAGCCAGCAGGGAATGTGGGATACTGAAACTTGAACTTTAAGGCAATTACCCTTAGTCTGTGTTCTTCAGCACCCTGATTTGTTTATCACTGGTTATTTCTCAAGTGCCGTGTTCTTTAGATGGGTATCAGTATGAAATCCATCTGGGTTCTGTTTGTTCTCTGGGGTTTTTTTGAGTTTTCCTCTGTAAATATCCGTATTCTGGAAGTGTATTGGGAACTTCTAGCCATTCTTAGGGCACCACCCGTTAGATGTCCCCTGCGGTGACTCGGTGGCCAGGTGATGCTCCTGTCTCTGGCCGCATCTGGATGTATAAATAAAATGGGTCAGGGCACGTGCTGTGACCCGTGGGGTAAGTGGCTTGCGTCCCTGTGGCTAAGCTTTCTTCTTTGGCTCTCCTCCCTTCTGAGGGCTGGAGCGAATTGATCCAAGCCAAAGCCATAGCAGGGAGTCTGTTAACTATTAAAGGATCTGAATGGTCACAGACGATTCAGAAGGAAGCACGCGATGTAACACTACAGCCTCATTTCAAACTCACATTTTGACCCTCTACCGCCTGGTCAGCGTGGGTGCCTTTGAAGAAGCTGGTTACCCGGCCAGAGAGCGATCACTTGTGATGGCTCAGCTTTTGAAATCGTTGCCTGTCCCAGGGCAAGGAGGCCAGAAGGTCAGAGGACAACTTGAGGTTGCAGCAGAC